TTTTTTTCCCCCTTTAGTAGTGTCTTTCCCTGGCCCGTTGAAAGAAGAGAATCTGTTAAATGTTCCAAAGCCACTGCCAAAACAACTGTGGGAGACCAAGGAGGTGGGTGAACAGCACTCAACTGTTTGTTGTCACTGAATGTTTGCACTCCAGAGATCATTGAACAATCTTGCAGAGGTGAAAACAAGAGGAATTGGGGGAAAAGAAGAAAATTTGGGAACAGAGATGGGAAGAATATACTAGGAAATGATGTTTCAAGTAACAATTATTGCAGTTATGCTGACGAAACAGTACAGTGATCTCTTGACTTCCTAATTCTCATATGAATTTACTCATTCAAAAAACGTGTTAAGCCCCCCCCATATCTTATTCGTATTGCTAAAAGCTCTAAACCCTGATTACAAGTCGTAAGCAGATTTTTCTGTTTTGTAGCCAACCCTTTCTGCCAGCCTCCAGCTTCTGTTCAGAATTACTGATGTACCAGATAACCCTTTTAAAATCAAGGGCATTTGACCTGAGTCCTCCAAGAGTCAGTCAGTAAACAGTCATCTGTTTAACTGTGATTTCTCTGAGCCTTTGAGTATTTGTATCAAGAATCGTGCCAGCCGACCTCCACCTAGGCTCTCTGTACACCTCCCCCACGTGGAAGAGAAGGAGGTCCCACGGTACTTGATATGGCCTTTCTTCCCATAGGGAAGCTACGTTGACTTTGAGAGAAAACAGTTACTGTGTTCCAGCTCTTAATGATGGAGTTTGAGACCAGCCTGGCAACATAGCAAGACCCCGTCTCTAAAAGAGTGAAAAAAAAAAAAGGCCGGGCGTGGTGGCTCACGCCTGTAATCCTAGCACTCTGAGAGGCCGAGGTGGGAGGAGCACTTGAGCTCAGGAGTTCGAGACCAGCCTGAGCAAGAGCCAGACCCTGTGTCTACTAAAAATAGAAAAATTAGACAGGCGTGGTGGTGTGCGCCTGTAGTCCCAGCTACTTAGGATTGCTTGAGCCCAGGAGTTCAAGGCTGTAGTGAGCTATGATCACACCACTGGACTCCAGCCTGGGTGACAGAGTGAGACCTCGTGTCTAAAAAGAAAAAGAAAATTTAAATGGCTGCTCTGAGACGCAGTTTACACGTGCTGGCTCTCACTTGCGCTGACTGGAGGCTCAAGATACTTGTGCAGACTGTTTCAAGAACTGGAATTTGGCTTTCCAGTGAGTAATCCCGGCTTTTTTGTTGTCTCTTCCCAGATTCAGTCCCTGTCGGGGCGCCCTCGATCCTGTGATGTCGGAGGTGGCAAGTAAGTAACATTCTTTCTGTCCACGATTCAGGGACTGTCCTGAAGGTCTTTCTAAAAGTCTTAGTGCTTTGTCACAGAACTCTGAAAAACATAACTTGCTATGTATAAACTGAAAGTCAACTGCATTTTCATAAACAACACTCTTTTGACACTCATATTTCATGTGTTTAAAGTAATTAAATTACAGAACCACAATAACAAATAAAACTGATGTAAATATGACTCTCCTGGCAGAAGCAGAAGTGTGTGGGTGTCGGGAGGCACCCCCAGCCCGAGCCTATGGCAGACCTGGCCGTCGGGTGACAGGTTGGCCAGACGCAAAGCGAAGCATCGGTTAACCTGGCAACTGGCTTACATAGAAGTTCATTAAGAGAGTTGCTATAAATATACTTAATGCCACTGAACTGTGCACTTAAAAGTGCTTACAATGATAAAGTTTATGGTGTGTAATATTTTACCACAATTTTTAAAAAACATACAAATGGAAGATGAATAAATAAGAAAATTCACAATATCAAAAGTTTCTATGAAACCATTAATTAGTTAATGGATTTAATAGCATACAACTTTACTCCCTAAAAGATTTGAGACAGCTTACAAAAATATATACAGTATAAAAAAGTAAAAAAAGTTACTGAGGAAGTTGAGTCTGGGGAGGAGGAGGAGATGGCCGAGATAACGAAGCCCCAGTCGGCGGATGGTTCACGAACAGCGGCCGAGGGGGCGCGGCTCCCCCTCACGCTGGGACTGTCTGGAAGACTCTCTGATGGGCAGTGTCCCGAGACATCACCCAGCGTGCCGCGCGGGGCTGTTTATCACAGCGTCTCGCAATGCAGTCCCGTGGCGTGCAACCAGAGCAGTTCAGAAACAGCAACATCTTCCCAAGGCCAAGATAATGTGGTTGAAAATGGGACCCTTGAAGGAGCACCCATTTTAGAGGGTCTGTGGGTGAACTAAACCTACTTCAGGCAGTCCTTAAACATCATTCCCCCAACGAAGCTTCCTGTGAGCATTTCCCAGCGATGCACTCAGGCACTGCCTGCTGGGTACCTGGAGCTCAGACATTCTTTTCGGATGGTTAAATATAAACTCACGTAATCAACAGCCTGCTGAGCTGAGGCTTGACCTTGTCTTCAGAAAGTCAGAAAGCCTGCGGGGACCCAAGGCCAGACAGAAGGCCTCCCACCCAGAGGTGCAGGACATGCCTATGGACAGGATCAAGATTTTCCTCAAGAACCAATTTTGGCTCCACCCTCAGAAAACCTTCAGGCTCTGAAGGCCTATGTTGTAGACATGGGTTGCAATGCCTTAACCCCAGAGAGTTCGAAAACAGGTGTTTCTTCGGTAAAGAAAGTTGTTCGCTTGCTCTTATGTGAGAGGTAGACTTCCATTCGGTGACTCCTAGTCATGCAAATATTAATTGACCCCCTAATTCTAGGCACCAGGTAGAACAATGAACAAAACAGATCAAGTCCCTGCTTTCAAGGAGTTAATGCTCTAGTGGAGCAAGGTGGGCGAAACCAAGCAAGCAGAGCACTATACTGTGTGCCAGGCGTTGGCAAATGCAGCGAAGGAAAGGAAAGCAAAGCAAGGAGACAGGCAGGCGTGGGTGTTGGGAAGGCCTTTCTGATAAGCAGTGAAGTGAGGGGCAGAGGGCTCCAGCCGCGGAAGGGCACGTGCAGGACCCGGAGGAGGAGCGGGCCCGGGGTGCAATGAGGCGGGTGTAGCTTGGACCTGACTCGGAGATCGGAGTCACGGGAGGGTTTGCAACCAGGGAGAACATCACCGGCCTTGTCTCAGATCCAGTGACGACTCCAGTGGGTAGTAACTGTATTTGGAAGGTAACTGCTCACTGCAGGGCAGTTGCTGTGGATGTTACTAATGACCTGTTCACAGTGGTCACACGTGTTCTTATTCTTGCTCTGTGCCGCTGGACACCGTTCACCACCTTGTCCCCTTCCTCTCCCTGCCTTCATCCCACCCGGTCGCCCACGGATCTTTCTTCCCTCAGTCAGAAAGCCCATCTGCTCTCACCGTGAGCAGCTCTGGGTTCTCGATTTTATTTTTCTAGTCCTTGATCTTTGGCGCTGTAACCAGTTCCATACATCCAGGCATCTAAAAGACAAGATTCATGTTCAGTTTCTATACAACCAAAATTATTCTTCTTCATCCGTCCAACTGAAGACCTCTCCTGCTGCCCCATGTCTGTCCAGGCCTCCACAGTTACCCCAGTCCTGCTTTGCCAGGAAGCGAGAGGCTGCCAGGAGTGAATGCTCAGCTTCCTCCGCCGCTCACTCCCCTCCGCCGTCCTCCTCCCTGCTCCCAGGGACACGGGGGTCCCTCCTGTCCAGGGTGGGCTGCTTCACCCATCTCCCGGTCCTCATCCCACCGGCCTCTCTCCACTGCTTGTCTTTCCCTCATGTTTCCAGAATTCTCAGCCACACTCTGAAAGCGCATTTATTCGAGTCCTCCTTACTGCCTGCCCACTCCGGGCCCTCCGTGGCCTGGCGTCCACCTCCGTGTCCCAGGGGAACTGCCCTAGAGAGCGTCAGTTACCTGCTCCACGTAACAGAGAGACATCCCTGCTCCGTGTCCTTTCATATGACAGAAACTCAAAGCGTCTGAAACAGTTCGTCGTCTCACCCACACCCCTGCCCTCGTTCCCAGTCTGCTCCTGCGCCTTCTGCGTTTCCCGTCTTCGGGGTGGCCCCGCCAGTCCCTGTGCCAGGAGCCCAGGAGCCATCCCCGAGTCCTCCCTTCGTAGCTCCACAGTCCGTGGCTGCCTCCCTCCCACTGCCCTGTGGGCTCCCGTCGGACTGCTCAGCGCGCCAGAGCCCACGCTCTGCCTGCAGGCTGCGCTCCGAGCACCCACCTTTCCTGCCCCGAGTCCGTCACTCTGTCCCTCTTCCCTGCTCTGTGCGTCCGCTGGCTCCTTGTCGTCAGCACGCCGGTCCCCGCCCGTCTCCCACCACTGCCCAGCCCTCCTGCACCTGACCCCCGGTGGCGAATGAGTCCTGGCGGTCCCCAGGGCACGCCGCGGTCTCACGCCGCCCCGCTGCTGCCCGTGCTGTGACGTCTGCTTGAGATGTTTTCCCACCTCGATCACCTGAAGCCGTTAGCCTTCAGATTCAGCTCAGACGTCCTCCAGGAAACTCTCCCATCTGCTGGTCATCCCTCCGCACCGTGCACCTCCAGGCTCTGTCCCCGCACTGCTGAATTGCATCATACCGCGTGCCGCCTCTGCTTCGTCTCAGTCTCTCGAAGGCCCGAAGGCCAGGGCCAGGGCCCGGCCCCAGGGCGTGCTCTGCTGACACGTGCTATATTGAGTGAAGTGTCCTCAGTCGAATTCAGTACTGCCCCCTGCTCCTGGCCGATGGCACCTTCCCTAACTATTCTCTCTTCCACCTCCTCGTTCTTTTCCTAGCCCACCCCTGGACCGCTGTAGGTCGTCATTGTCATGGCTTCTCCCTGCCTCTCTCCCTGCTCCCTTATGCCATCCTCCACGCTCTAACCATTCTAGAGTGACATTCTCCAGCTTAACCTGGGCTCCCTCTTTCCTGCAGGCCCTGATCCAGACTCCTGAGAACAGCATGTCATCCCCCCTCTTGTTTCTCACTCGCCCGCGTCCCACTTCATCTGTTCGCGTCCTGTCCCCACGCTCTGCCCTGACGCCTCGCCATGCCAAGCCACTTGCAGTTCCATGAACATTCTGCGTCATGTCCTTAGCAAAGCCTTCCCTCCAGCACCTATCCTGACATCGACAACTCCTGCTTTTGTGCTCTCCGTGTCATTTGTACCTCTGGGTATACCCGCCCTCACCAGACCTGGCACCGCATGCTTCCTGCCGTCCTGCGACAGCTTGCCTTCCCGTCTGTCCTCCCCGTCTTGGAACTCCACGAACAGGGTCCTCGCAGACCCGGGCTAGGACTCCCTCCCTGGACCCTCCCTTTAGAGGGCTTCACTCCCAGAGTCAGGAGTCCAAGGGACCACAGGGAACGTACCACCAGCGTACCCCCCCTTAGGCCTGCGAGGTGGCCGGCACGGAGGCAGGGTGTGGACAGAGCTGGGCTGCGTAGGCTGGGACAGCCATGTGCGCGCACTGCGGTGCA